TCTGTGGATAACAGAGATCACTTTCCAGGGCTACTATCTGGTATCATTTATCAACAAAAGAAGCTATAACTAAAAATAATAAACAGCTATCTTCTTCAAAGGGTTAGGTGTTTACATTGCAAAAGCCTATGCAAAGTTTTTGCAGTCTTGGAAAATTGACACTTCCGGGGTTTTTTTTAATGGCCAAAGGAACCAAAAGTATAGGATATGGGATTAGATTATAAGTGAATGACTGAGAGATTACAGGGCAACTTTTCAAGTAGAGGCCCAGGGTGAGGAGAGAATTTCCACTGAATGCACATGTCCCATTTAAATAAAAAAAATACATTCTTGTGGTGAGAATCATAGGGCTTGAGTTCAGTGTGCCCATTAAGCTTCACAGGTGATTAATCAGCCCCGCCCAGTCAGAGGCTCAGAGCCTCAGAGGGAACACTGCTGGAGTTGGACATACGAAGAATATCTGAGAGATGCTGGCACAATCTTATTTAAGGATGAAAACCAAACTCTTAACAAAAACGGGCTCTTGCAACATTCCTGCCTGACTGGCATTGTCCCAGAAAAGTTATGTTAGAAAGAGAAAGCCGTGACTGTTGGTCCTCATCAAATAAAAGTTCAGAGTAACATTGTGTGCCTCTTCTGGCTGGTCCCTCACCCACTGTTACTTAGTAATAGAAATGTAGCTGTGTTAGTCTGGTCTAGCTGAAACAAAAAACAGGACGATGTAGCACTTTAAAGACTAATAAGACTTGTTATTCTCCACCACCACTCTATGCCAGGGCCCACATCTCTCTCAGATCGTGGCACCCTCCTACCTGGGTACTGCCCCTACTGCAGTGTCCCCACACTCTGGAGTTCTATTCCTCTTCCTCTGGGGACCCTCAATCCCCCTCTGTCTAGCTTGCCTCTGACCACTGCTAGACTTCATCTAGGCCCTGCCACAGGGGCAAACTGCACTGGCCGCTCGTCATTTGGCAAGGGGATATGGACCTGCTGCCTTTGATAATTTGGCAAGGGGATATGGACCTGTTGCCTTTGCCTACCCTGGCTGCTCCCCCTGCAGCCCTGGCACTCTCAAGGCTTGTTTCAGACCCTGCACCCTGGGAACGTTCCTGGTCAGAACTTTCCCAGCTCTGCCGCCTTTTTCCTCAGCCCTACTATTCTCAGGCCTTGTAGCACGGTCAGAGGCTAGAGCTCCCCAGCTCTGTCTGCCTGTTCCCTGCAGTACCCTGTCTCAGGAAGTCTCTGCTTCCTTGGCAGCTAGGTCCTTCCTGTTTCCTAGCTAGAGCAAGACTGTCTCCACTCCATGAGCCTTTTTTTATACTTGCCTCAGCTGGGCCCTAATTGGCTATTATCTCCTGCAGCTGCTTGCTCCACAGCTCCAGCCCTCACACAGGCTGGGGTTTAATCCCTTAAAGGGCCAGTGTAGGGTATCAGTTTTGGCCAACCCGACCCAGGACTAGAGCCCACGACCCCGTGCTTCCCAGGTGAGCGCCTTATCCCCTAGGCCCTGTCACAATCAGTTATTAATAAACACAAAATCCTCCCTTACCAGGAGAGGTTAAGTCCACAAATGTCTGTCTGTACTAGGCTAGTAATAAAGTGGTGGAGAAACAGGTGAACTGCTCTGAGAATTTCAATTTTAAAGTAAATTTTGATATATTCCTAGTGAGGTGCTGCCTTAAACTATGAATCTGAAAGCTGCACTGTGCCAGTGGACACCAGTGGAACCCTACTGTGTGGATCTAGGGGTTATCTACTCGTGTGTTACACCAGGCAGATCAAGACTGGACTTTCCATTGTTTCTACCATCAGACCTGTCACTCTTAGCTTCAATTTTAGCAGATTCTGAAAAATTGAGAGGGCCCTCACCTGTGACAAAAATCACATATTAATTTACTGAGTCAGCTTTTTATACCTTAGGTGCTTTTACTAGTGTGAAATGCTAAAATAATTCTTAGTCCTCTCTCTATTTCCTTTAGTATGTCTTAAAAAAGGCTTCCACAAGGAGACCGGTGGTTTATTAAGTTCTTTTGGTCTTTAGAATAACACACTCCATGAGGAACTAATTTGGTTCTAAAGGGGTAACATGCCAAGCAATTCCTTGTAAATTCCTTTGTAATTTAGCAAGGAGTTAATGGTTACTTATTGTAAAGTGTTACCAGGCTATATGGTGAATGTTTTTAGAAACTGAATTACTCTATTTCCCTGGGGACCCTTTTATCCATGGGGAAGATGTTGTAATATGCAGGAAGTGGCAATATAATAGCCATTGCACATTCATTTGTTTGGTAAAGCTTGGAAAATAAAGCTAAAAAAACTGAGATGGGCCCATTTGGAGCCAGATTTGGATTTTAAACACTCCGAAGTTCAGGGTGTTTTGTATGCAAAGTTTTGATTTGGCCCATTGTAAAGATTCTGGTTCAGATTTTGAGAGTTCGGGGTTGTTTGTTTTAGAAGATATGGTTCCTGTTCCTCTCTAGAAAATAACTGGTGAATAGAATGGAATAACATTGCTGGAGATTGATTTTTAGCACCGAGACACATTGGTACACCAGTAAATGCTTCCTCAGGGCCAGGAGGAAAGCAAGGAGTTTTAGTGTTTAGGGTAAGGATGTTAGGGACTAGTCAACTATCCGATAAGCAAATGCTGATCAGATAGTTGAGTCGATGAGTCAATTCTCCCCCCTTGCTGCCTTCACCAGAGGCAGCAAAGGGGGGGAGAAGAAGGGGATACTTCAAAGTGATAGCGCCACACAGCTGATCCCGGGCTCAGCTGTGCAGCGCTGCCCTTCTGAAACACTGTGGCAATGTTTCAAAGCAGCACTGCAAGGAGCTGAGCCCGAGCTCTATGTGGCACTGCCTCTTTCAGGGGCAGTGCTGCATGAAGCCCAGGGGCAGCTATGTGTGGCGCTGCCACTTTAAGGGGCAAAGCAGCACCGCACAGCTGATCCTGGGCTCAGCTGTGTGATGGTGCCCCTCCAAAACGCTGCCATGTTGTTTCAAAGGGGCAGCGCCATGTGAAGTCCAGGGTCATCGGAGACTCTCAGCTGATCTTGGACTCCGTGCGATATTTCCATGGGACCCTGGATCAGCTGGGGAGTCCCCAGCTGACCCTGGGCTCCACGTGGCATTTCAAAGCAGCAGCTCAGCATGGAGCCCAGGGTCAGCGGGGTACTCTGAGTCTCCTGCTGACCCCGGGCTCCATGAGGGCACTTCCACTTTGAAGTGCACAAGAGCCCCCGCTGGGGACTCTTGTACATTTCAAAGCTGCCATGTTGCGTGCAGCCTGGAGTCATCAGGACTTCCCGCTGGGCCCAGGCTGCATGCAGAGTTCCGCATTCCTCCTTTGAAATGTACAAGAGCCCTAGTGGGGGCTCTTGTACACTTCAAAGGAGGAATGCAGAAGTGCCTATCGACTAGTTGAGTACTCAAATAGTAAATTAACTGATATTTAACGTCCTTAGGTCAGGGTGCGGCTTGCAGGAAGGGAGTTGGCAGTGTGGAGAGAGGAACTCAAAGCTCAGCACTGAAAACTTGCACAGATCGAAGGAGCACTCTATGCTCTTTCAGAAGTCCTGCCTCCCATTCAAAGACTGAAAGAGAATCAGAAGTATTAGAGAGGAGAAATTTGTGTTGTCCACCTATGGAGCTGACTGCTTCCTTTAGAGTTGTCCCACACTTTATAGGGGATCTGCTCATTTGGCTCTGAAGAATAAACATTTTACATTCTGTTTCTTCCAAGAATTGTAGAGGCCAAAAGCAGAGTATGAAGTAGTTAGTATGCAGCCATAGCTGCACCAAAGTTAAGGTTGTGTTACAGATTTCCATTTTAACAGGAGTTTAAACCTTGATGGTCAGTGACATTAGCAGCATTAAGGGAGAATAACTCCCTAGCTCTGTGCAATGTGTGATCATGTGGTGCACCATTGACCTCTTGATGCAAAAGCATAAGAGATCAATGTTACAGTTTTGTGTTGGAGTGCAAGTTTGGTGAATTTGGGGTCCTTGTTTTTGGTATCTATTAGAAATAGAAACAAAACCTTATAAGAGTTGAAGTGTTTTATCAATAGCACTGTGAGAGAGGAAATGAACACAGAGATCTTTTCTCTCAGTTTCTTTCTTCTATTTGTTTACTGTTGTGAATGGATGGACTGTGTCCTGCCACTGGACTTAAATTTTATTTTCTAATAAAACTGGGAGGAGTGCTGGTGTGATTTGTTTGGTTGGCTGAATACACCAATATCATAATGCTTGGCACTTTTATATAGTATCTCTTAACCGTGGAGCTTACAGGACTTTATAAAACCTAAGGCTCTCCACGCCACATTGCATAAAATACACAGCTGTGTTATAGTTAGGTGTAGTAATACTTAACTATATTTTACAGATGGAAAGTCTGATGCACAAGAGAGGTTAAGTGACTTGCCTAAGGCCACACAGAGAGTGAATGACAGGTCTGGAGAGAGAATCCAGATATCCTACTCCCTTGTTGTAACCATTAGCCAACATTTACAGCCATGTGGTTGGACAGCTCAGGTGAAACAGAAAAGTGTATTGCCTTAAACTACACAATTATAATTGAATAGGCAATATTGCTGCTTGTGGTATTCCACTGATGCCTACAGCATTCAGTTCCTCGGTCTGCTTTCTTTCCTTCTTGCTGTTGTCCTGCCAGTCATGTCCTGTAACTGACAGTGGAAGCTTGCAGCTATGTAGGTTCACACATGGGATTTTTTTGGTGCTGATATTCTTCTTCAGTGAAGTCCAGTCAACTGTAAATTTTGGCCATATCCACATACTGTGGAAGAGAGGCCTAAATTTCTGAGGTTCACTGAATTCCTGAGATTTTCCTTCTTTGGCTCCAGTTAGTCTTTTTTGTGGCTTGGCACTCAGCAGTACATGTGAAATGAAACAGGGGAACTCAGCAAACTGTGAGCCGCATGCAGCTGGCATGGAATTACATGACTGTGGTTTGTTTTCTTCCTCCCCCTCCAATCTAGAGTATAAGAAGAAATACGGGGAAGAGCATGGCTCGTGTCAGGCTGGAATAGCGGCTTTCTTCACTGAGGTGGGTAAAGGCGGTTTTGATGAAAAGTTCAAGCTTGTGGAGGCATTTTCCTGCTTATTTTGCCATGTGCACTGGGAAAGACTGTAGAAACAGAAATGTGCCATCAGCAGTACTCTATGCACGTAGCATATTTCCTTTTATAATGTTCTGACTTCAGCAATTCAGCAAACACCCATTTTTAACGTGTCTTCAATGTGTGCTGTGGCCATTAACCCGCTGGCTCCTGGGCTGTCCTAAATCAGCTACTTTGGTACTATTCCTTCCTGTTAGTGACTGCCAGAAGGTGCAGCTTTGAACTGCCAGTTCAGAGAACTTGGGAGAGAATTAAGGGTATGTCTACACTACCCCGCTAGTTCGAAGTAGCAGGGGTAACGTAGTCATCCACAGTTGCAAATGAAGCCCGGGATTTGAATTTCCCGGGCTTCGTTTGCATGAAGCCGGCCGGCGCCATTTTTTAATGGCGGG